CTGGCTTGTTTCACTTAGCATAATTTTATCCAGGTTTAGCTATGTTGTCTCAAATTGAAGTATTTTCTTCATTTTAAGGCTCAGTAACATTCTTTTGTTATATATCCATATGTAATACATATCTGTGTGGGGTGTATATATATATATATTTTTTTTTCACCATTCACTTGACACTTCAATTGTCCATATCTTGCTATGGTAAGTTAGGTTGTACCAAATATAGGAGGGTAACTATCGCTTTGAGAAAGTGATTTAATTTCCCATGTGTATACGGGCAAAAGTTAGATCGGTGGATTACGTGGTAGGTCTACTTTTAATTTTTGAGGAACTTCCATACCCTTCTCATAATGGCTTTACAAATTTATATTCCAATAGGGAACAAAGGTTCCTTTTTCTGTATGCCTTTGCCAACACTTGTTATTTTTTGCCTTCTTAATAATAACCATCCTACCAGATTTGAGGTGATACCTCATTGTGATTTTGATTTTCATTTTTTTGAGGATTAATGCTCTTGTGCACTTTTTTATGTTGGTCATTTTGTGTCTTCTTTGGAAAAATGTCTATTTGTGTCTTTTGCCCATTATGAAGTAGGGGTATTTGTTTCACAAATTTGTGAAAATCAAACTAAGTACTCTTGAATAGCAATTAGGTCAAGGAGAGAAAAAGATTTAAAATATGTTAAAACAAATGTAACTTACCATAACTGCTTGGATATTGCAAAAGCAGCATTAGGAAGTTTATAGTGATAAATGTCTACATTAAAAAGAGAAGAAAGATCTCAAACAATTTAATTTTATGCTTCAAGGAACTTGAAAAGAAAACAAAATGCCAGTACTTAGCAGAAGGAAGAAAATAATGAAGATCAGAGCAGAAATGAATCAAATAGAGAATAAAAGAAGTCCACAAAACCAAGCTGGAGTGGTTGAAAACACAAACAAAATCAAATCCTTAGACTAAATAGAAAGAGAGAAGATGCAAATAAATAAAAACATAAATAAGAGGTATTGCAACAGATGCCACAGATATAAAAGCAGTCTTAGGTAATTATTATGAATAATTATTTGTTAACAAATTACATAATTTTAAAGAAATGGATAAATTACTGTAAATATACAATTTATCAAGACTGAATCAAGAATAAATAGAAATTGTCAAAAGACCATAATTATTTGTTAACAAATTACATAATTTTAAAGAAATGGATAAATTACTGTAAATATACAATTTATCAAGACTGAATCAAGAATAAATAGAAATTGTCAAAAGACCAATCATTAATTTAAGCCTTCATGTGATAAGCCAAGATCTCCTAACAAAGACAAGCCCAGATAATTTAATGAATCCTATAACACATTTAAAGAAGAATTAATATCAATTCTTCTTATACTCTTCCAAAAACACTAGAAGAACTACTTCCAAACTTTATTTTATGATGCCATAATCACCCTGACACCAAAGGCAGACAGACACTATAAGATAGCTACATGACAATGTCTCTGATGAGTATATATGTGATAATTCTCAATAAAATACCAGCACAGCAATTTCAATAGTATACACACACATATAGACAAAAGATTATCATCATGACCAAGTGAGTGTTATCACTGAAATGAAAGTTTGTTTCAACATAAGCACTTCAAGCAATTTGATACACAGTATTAACAATGAAAGATAAAAAACCATTGAAACCAATGAAAGATAAAAATCTCTTCAATAGACACAGAAAAAGTATTGACAAAATTTGGTATCTATTCATAGTAAACATTTCCAATAAATAAAGAATAAAAGGAACTCTCTCCAACACAGTAATAGCCATTTCTGAAAAACCCATGGCTAAATATTGTAATGAATGGGGGAAAACTAAAAGCTCTTCTTCTAAGATCAGGAACAAAGCAAGAATAGCCTCTTTTATCACTTATATCAAAATAGTATTTTAAGTCCATCCACGAGCCATTAGACAGAAAAAAATAAATAGAAGTTATTCACATTGGAAAGAAAGAAGTAATATCATCTGTATGTGAAGATGGCAGATCCTATATATAGAAATATTTGAAGACACCTAAAAAACCTATTATAACTAATAAAAATTTGGCAATTTTGCAGGAAACAAAATAAACACAGAAAAGTCAATATCAGTCCTTTACTCCAAAAACGGATTATCTGAAAAGAAATCAAGAAAACAATCCTATTTATTTATAATAGCATCAAAAAGAGTAAAATACTTAGGGATAAATGTAACCAAAATGTTGAAAGATATGTTCCTGTAAACTGTAAAATATTGGGCCAGGTGTGGTGGCTTACCTCTGTAATCTTAGCAGGTGGGAGGCTGAGGCAGGGGGATTGGCAATGACAACGGAAGTCATGTGGTGTGGTAAAAGTCACACACCAAGAACGAGCTGTGTGTCCTTGTTCTAACTCTATTACCTCCTTACTTGATGTTCTATTTCTCTGCCTGCAAAGACTGCCCTGGTCACAGGACTGGCCTTTGGTAATACGAAATTCAATGTTTATTGACCTTTGTCATGTGTCAGGCTGTGGTCCACATCTGGGCAGCAAGAGATTATATTCCGGAGAGGAAGTCAGACAATGAAAACACTCTGTGAATGGCATGGACAATATTTTAGGTGGTGGTTAGTAATATGAAAAAAGTAATGGGGAGTGTGGGGTAAGGGTCAGATTTTAAATAAGATGATTAGGAAAGGACTCAATGAGAATATGAAATGTGAGTAAAGGCTCTAAAACACGAAGAAATAATGATTGTCTTTCTGGAGATAGATTATTCCAACAGAGGAAAGCGAAGGAGCAGACGTCCTGGGAAGGAATGTACCCGGGCTGTTTCTGGACCAACAGGGAAGGCTGCATGGGAATGAGAGGGAGAAAGCAGGAAACAACAAAGGGAAGGGGCAGCTGGGTGACGTGTCCCGGGCCCAGGGCTGGCATCAGCAGGGCCTCAAGACCATTGTAAGGGCTGCTTTTTGTTTGTTTGTTTGTTTTCAGAATGAGATGTAAAGCCACTCAGGTATTTTGAATAGAGCAATGATAGTATCTAGTTTACCTTTTCACATGGCTTCTGTTGATTCTCTGGTGATAGGATTCAGTAGAGCAAGAACAGGAGAAAATTAAGAGAACAACATTTGTGCCTTTCTGTGCCGATTCCCTCCTCTTCCTCCCCACTTCCTGTGCTCTTGAGCTTCAAGTTCTCATAATGCTCTCTCTAGTTTTCCAATTTCCTTGGGAAAAGAGATATTAAATTCCTCCACCTTGAAGTGTAAATGATGTATAAACTGCATTGTATAAGCTGGGTGCGTAGTTTAAATAAAAAGAATGGGCTCTAACTGTAGAATTAAATAATATTTTATTTTAGCCAATAGACTTTTTAAAACTGTCTAAAATGACTTTATATGACTGCTTAGATACCCTGAGTAAAAAGGCTAGCTTCACTTGAAATCTCACTTAATAAAAGGTAGGAAGTACACACACAAAAATGAAGATTAGGGTTGCCTATAAAACTCACAGGGTGACAGAATTTTGTATCCATAAAAGAAACTTTAATCAGTCACTATATCGTTAAGGATTCTACCTCCTTAATTTGTCTCCAAGCAGTCTCCCCTTCCAACTTAGTTTGGGAAACAGTGTCCTCTAATAGGTGTCTTGAAATCCAGGATTAACCTCCCACACTATCTGATTTCCACACCAGAATGATCTTAAAATGCGAAAGAGGTCATTTCCCTGTTCAAAACCCTCTTACGCCTCTCCCGTGCCTTACAATATAGTCCACTCTGTGTCTGACACACGAGCTCCGTTAGGAACTGGCAGTCTCTACCTTCTGCTCCAGTCAACCCTGAACCATCCCACCTCCACTTCAGCATCCTCCCTACGCACTTACTATGTTCTTCAACTACAATCCGTGCTCACTTTCTTCTGGAGTTCAGTACTTGCCATTTTCTTTCCCTGGTAAAGATCCTTAGATTTCCCCCAGCTAATTTCTGATCACCCCTCAGGGTTTGGTGCAGACATCATTTTTCTGAAAAGCCTGCCTGGTGTCCAGGACTCAGTTGGGTGAAACTTTTTCCAGCATTCTGCCCCTTAGGTAGCAAAGGGATTTTCTGATACTTACTAGTTTACCCTGCTGGCTAGGTTTTTAGTGTTAAGAGGGGCAGACATCTTGCTTTCTTTGGGTGAATACCATGCCTGAGAGAGCATTTAATTTATAAATGAACTTCAATAGACATTTGAGTACATAAATGAAAGCTATGTATGGAACTTCTTATAAGAGTTCACAACATGAAGCAAAAAGAAAAATGCTACCACTGATCTCCAAGAAAAATGAATTGCTTAGGAGAAATACAACTATTTCTGGTATTGAGAACAAAAGGGAAATTTCTCTTGGATCTTCATAGAAAGGGCACTAATATACAATAAGCCAGACAGTACGAAAAATGAAGGAAATACTAATCTTCATGGTCACTCTTAATTGACACTACTCATCTTTAACTAACTGAAGGTGGCGAGGGTGGGCATCGTGACGATACCTCTTTTCTAGTTTTAAATAGTTGTCAAATGGCATTGACCATTGCAGTGCCGTTCCCTGAAAAATATTTGTGTACTGATTTGCAGGTGATTTTCTGAAACCAAACCTGTGCTGAGACCCTTTTAAAGGAAGCATTTGTCTAATGTGTCACTGTTGAAGAGCAATGATTCTTCTCATTAAAATGTGCAATTATTGCATAGGATCATCTAAAGAAATATTTCACGACCATGAAAATGTAAAAAGACTCATAAGAAAGACACATAATGTTATCTTGTGATATGTTTTCAAGGCCATTATCAATGAAAGTATATTTTTCTTTTGAGTAAATTATAGATTCTTTTGTTCTAAAAGTAGAAATGAAAGTACTCTTCCTTTTTTGTTTTTAGAAAACCACTGGTCAATTGATTTTCTCTCCTTTGGGTTACAGATAGGAGATAGAAGTCACTTCCTGTTTCCATTAGGCTGCTAGAGTTTACCTACATTTTTTTCAAGCCCTGGAAAGTTCACATCCACATTGTAATGCCGGCTTCTCTTCAGGATCTGTTTCCACTTTCTCCAGGCTCCAGAGGGAAACTTCACCGTAGCAACCTCCTGAGAACCTCGTATTCAGAATAAAAGGCAGTGAGGTGAACACTGAACTCAGAGTTACTGAACAGACACGGCTTTTCATCCAAATTGTTCCCTAAATTGCTGTGTAAACCCAGTCAAGACACATCATCCTCTAGTTCTATAGAAGGTGAAGCTTGAATTACAGGCTTTCTAAATTTCATTCCATCTGCACTATACTAGGCTATGGGACGCTGTGATTTATAGAAAGAACCTCAGTTCTTTCCTCAGAATTTCTTCCAGGTTGGTGCAGAACTGGCACTACACACCTCTGAGCTTTTAAGACCAGTGAGCACTGGGTTATATTAGCACTTGTTTCTTTTTTTAGGATGAGACGAAGGAAGGATAAAATGAAGGAAGGAATATACTTTGGCTGTCAGAATTTTTACTGCTGCTGTCACCTACTCACTGTACCATGTCTTGGTCCAATCTGGCTCCAAGACATTTTCAGAGATAGCTTGATAAATCAGAGTCATTCTTACATCCAAAGTATATTAGGAAATAGGTAGAAAATGTTCAAATTTGAAGGGGAATAGGGATGGGGGAGGAAGAAAGGAAGGGAAAAGAAAAAAATAGAAAAATAATGAAAACAAGGAGGGGAAATAAGGAAGGGAACGGGGGTTGAAGGGAGAAGAGGGGCTTGAAATAGAAAGAAGAATCAGGATATACTGTGCACTGGCACAAATTCCTTATGTTGAGTATGTATCTACAATGAACCAGTACAATTAACTTTAAAAAAGATGATACAAGGAGAGGTCTGCTGAGGTTCCAAGTGCCACATGAGCTTGATTCCCACTACAGAAAATCTGCCAATTTAAATTTACACACTTAAGATCCCAGAGCATTTTGCACCTTATTGGGCTGAATGGGAACAGAAATAAAAAGAGAAAAAAGAAAAAAAAACTTGACCTTAATTTGTAAATTGATGGTTATTGGAATAGATTTGGCCTTGAAAATGTACAGTATCAGGGATGAGAGTGCTATTTACTCTTGCTCAATGAAGTTACTCCCTAACTGTAGAAACCATAATGGAATAGATTAATTGAATATATTTCATCTTTAGTAGTACTCAACAACGTAAACTATAAAAGTACAACAATCTCCAAAAACTATGAATTAAAATATACCTGTAACGCTATATTGATTTTCAGCTACCTTCCTGAGATAAAACTTTCCACTCCATATCTCTCCACTCCATATCACCTAGGCCACGGTTACTTTGGAAATTTACTTCTGCTTCTAGCACAACAATCATGAACAGTTTTAAGAACATGAAGATATCAAGGTAAGAGAAAAATATTCCTCATTAAAATGCCCCATTGGTCCAGAGCAGTTTATGGCACATAGTTTTATTTCCTAGATCTAAAGTTTGGATTGATGAGGATAAACAATCACTTGGGTAATCAAACCCATTAAATCATATAACAATGCCAATTTACACATCCAAGTACTTCATAGTTGTTTAAATTAGTAAGTTTTGCAGGAGATAAGACCTTTCAAAGTCCTTACATGTAGGCAGTACCACCTAGGCCAGAAGCACTGGCCTTAGCTCTCACTGAGATGGTAGAATAAAAGTAATAAAATACTGATATTTGACTGAATTATCTCATATCTGTGCTTTAGACAGAGAAAAAGCGGACAGAAAGTACTCATATTAGGAGGTTTTGGTACTAATTCTAGGAAAAACAATCTCCTATCATGAAGAAGCATGGGTTGGTAGAGGTACAGAAGACGTGGGTTCAATCCCTACACATCAGAAGCCATGATGGATCTAGAGAATTGGTGTGTGACATCTGAGGTTCCATCTACATTAACACGAGGTCGATGAAATGGACAGAGGACCTTTTATGTTCATTCATGCCCTGAAACACTTCCTATATTGTGTGATTTCAACCCATCTTTCAAACCTTGCATCCGTGGTGCCCTTATGATGTTACTGAATAATAATAGAAGAAGAATACTGAGTAATAATAGAAGAATATTAACCAGGGTAGGCAAAATCAGGGAGGAAAGTCCAGAGCTCTGTATCTCTGGTGGACCCATGAACTATGTTCCAGAAATGTTAGAGGCCATGAAAGCAGAACCAGGCGTGAAGAGCCCCTATGCAGATCTAAATGGAAGTGGAGGTAATATCCTTGGTGGTTGGACTAGATGGCATGTGAGACAGGCAGTCCAGAATCACTCTAGATTTTCTGATCTGAGCAACCGGAATGGAGTTGTCATCTGCCACACTGAAGAACACTGTAGGAGAGACAGCATGTGCTAATGCTGGGCTGGTCTTGTGACATACACTGTGCATCTTCCATATCTGTCCATGGCTTGGAGTAGTCACAGCACCATCAATTCTCTGCTTTTAAAACGCTCCCTTCAAACTGACTTTCAAGCCATCTGTCCCTGGTGTCACTTCTAAAGAATAAAGCAAGCCTACAGAAGTAGAAGTAACCAAAGTGAAAGACATTCAGCCCAAGTAAAACATTGACCTGTGTGACTTTCTTTGGTAAGGAATTTCAGGGCAATGGTAGGGTTGCTCTTATGAAAACCCAACTGATCTTTCCTCCTAAAGTGAACTTCAATTTGAATGATCTTCAAAGCAGTCACGGACTTTTGCAGGGTTTTTGCATACACTAAAACAGCAGTTTGGCTCTGTGGTATTTGATTATAAACTGTTCCAAAAATAAAGCATTGGCGATCTTAGTGTACACTATTTACATAAATGGCAAAGCCTATTGGGGCTGTGCAGTGCGTGGTTCTGGACCTGATAATTTCATTTAGAAGACAGGTGGAGAAAGTGAATCATAAATCTGTTTAGGCAGGGATTGGAATGAGGAGCCACACTGTGTATGCTTGACTGTAACATTTGTGAATAACAGAGTAGATAAATAAAAAGTTTAAAAGTTCCACAACTCTCTAGCATATTTTAATTTAGTCTTCTCTTTGATCAGAACTATGTAACACAGGCATCCCTAGCTGCAGGAATGACTAGGATTTTACTTTATTTTGTTTTCTTTCTTGTTAGCTAAGGACATTGATCTTCCAAATAGAGTAATCTTTTTTGGTAACAAAGTGAAGAATAGGCGATTTCCTAGAGAACCAGCACTAGCAGTCTGACATATATGCTGATTCTTACATATGTAAATTTACTGGGTTAGCTAGTTATTTTCTTTGCAAAAAGCATTGAAATACCAGCAGTGAATTCCAGTTAGTATTTGAGAAATTGCCAGTGAAGATACTTTTTAATACACAGCATGTTTTGTTGCAGTGAAAGGTAACAAAGAGCAAGGTGGGCCACTGAGTTTTTATTCTTTGTTTTCTTTTTAATGTAGAATGGGACCTTGGGTCTCTGTGGGACCATGTTTGACATTCCCTTAGAACGAATGTCTTATTGTAATCTTTTAACAGTCCACTAACTGAAAATAATTCACGGTAAATGGCTAAAAAAGATAAATGTTTAAACACACTTACTCTTTCCTAATAGAAAATGGAAAATGCATTTTAGTTACCAGAATCACCATTACTCAAGATATCTTTGAACATGTGACATATACAGAATTCTCAGAACAGAATGTTGATATTTGCTACACAGTAAATTTATCATGCCACTTAATTTTTCTATTCTCACCAAGTCCTGTGATAATTGAGAAAACAAATTAGAAGAGTTTTTTTCAGAAACTGAAATCAGAGATAAAGAAATTATTCAAACATTTTAAGTAGGTCAAGCTGGACTCAAATAATGATCTTTAGCTTGGTGTACAGGGTGTGATAAATACAGTGCAAGTTTACATTTATAAAAATGATGATGGTGAAAGACACTTGACCATTAATCCCTCTCACAGTAAATACTACCCCTAGTTTCAAACTCATTTCATCATTCTTGCCATTTTCTGCAGCAATTTTGGAATTCATCTGTACTGAGTACTGTCTCTAATTGTGTTGCCATGGCTGCGTTGATATCCTGAATTGATTGAGAATATATCCCCTCCATGGTCATTCTGACTTTAAGTAAGAACCAAAAGTTCATCACCACATCTGGTGAGTCAGGTGAGTGAGGACTCACCTGAATGCTTTTATGAGGCTGCCTTTCCTTTGATAGCACGTGGCAGCAGCGTTCACTGTCTCTTTATTATGCCTTATAAAGACAGAAAAGAGCCCTTGCTTTAGAAAGTGACAAGAACAATGGGATAAGATGGGGTGAGTGTGTTCCAGTGAGGAGGAACATCATGAGGGAGATTAATGGCAATGAGTTACCTACTGTAATCAATTTTCTAAAGCATTATTACTCACTCTATATTCTGATCACACCCTCTACATCATTTTGAGGAGCAAAATGCATATTTTCGGCATAATCTCCATTGCTGTGCTTCTCACCTTTCCTCTTTATCCTCTGTCTTCTCCTGCCTGTGAGGATACAGCAGGAAAGAGAGTGTCTTCTGGCCTCTGGCCCCTCATCTTTCAAGACAGATGCCAGTTGATAATTTATGTCCCTCTACATTTCTCTATGACATGCATTGGAAAGTGTTTATATTGGTTTCTTTTTCAGTGAATGCTTCTCCCTTTAGGAGTACTCACTGGTCCCCTTTCCTGTCTGATGAAAACATTCTAACCTGCGGCTGTACACATATAATCATTTCTATTTTTGGAAAACCTTATCTGTGCTCCTGCATCTGTTTCTTTTTCTTTCATTATATTAGCTTATCATGACAACATGACATTCGTAGTTTATCTTTTGAGCCCTGATTGGGATTGTGTTAACCTGTATACCTTGCTCAAAACACTGTATTCTTTGGAAACCACCTAATGGAAAGGACCCACTAATGCACTAAAGATTGACACACTAATTGTTGATCCGTTGGGAAAACAGTCAGGGGGTGAAGGGTGTGAATTTCTCTTGTTTCAATAGTAGCAATCAAAACTCTAATTAAAATTAGGCACTCAATTGCTTTCTAAATGATTCTGGTGACTTCATTAATCTCCAGTGATGAGTTACCTCTGTAATATTTAATATCTTGACAAAGCAAGGCGCATATTACCAAGCACAAATCAAACTTCTGCCTGCCTTTTGATATTTCTGGACACCAGGAATCCATCGCTTCTCTTGTATGTATGAAGGTCAGATTTTTAGACACAGTTCATGTCCTAAATAGGCCGAGCACTTGTCTAACACTGCAAACTCCCAGAGGGCGGACACCAGTGGCAGCTATATAATGCATTCTGGTTCACTGGAAGGAGCACTAACAGGGGGTGATGAAGTTGTTCATCAACTCTTGCAGGCACTCGGCTGGAACTCCTTGGATCGGAGGCTCAAGTAACTGCCCTCAGAGATTAGTAGGATCTCTTTCAGCCCTGAGGTGAGAACTGCCCTCTTGTAAGGATTGTGTCTCTAAAGAATGATTTTATTGTAGCACATCCAAAGTTGCTTTCCTCACGTTGCCCTGTCTTTGCAGAATCTGATCACAACCCCATCTCTCTCCTAATCTTTACCCTGGCACTGTCTTCTTTCTTGTGATCCAGACTCAGCCATCTAACTAAATCCCATACATCACTTGAATAACTAAGAATCAAGGCTGTACATTTTCAATGGCCATTTTCTTTACTTCAAAATATTCTTATCTTTAAGGAATCTGTTGTCCACATCCAAATATTGAGAATCCTTTCTTAATGTCATCATTGCCTTCAGCTTCCATATTCAATCAATAACCACATCTTAATTCTTTCATCTTTTTGGCATTTCCCTGTCCTATCCTTTATCACATTTCTGGCATTTTTTTATTAATGACTTTTTTCTTTTCTTCTTTTTTTGGCGGGGGGGTTGGGGGGACTTGGGACCTTCTGCTTGCAAGGCAGGCAGAGGCACCACTGAGCTAAATCCCCGGCCCATTCATGACTTTTCTATATGCTATAGTTGGGTTTGGAATATCTCCCAACGACTTGGTTTCCACCATATGGCTATTAGGAGGAGGGACCCGTGTGATTTGAGGCCTACGGAGAGCGAATTAGGTTATTGGGTGTGGGCTAGAGGAGGGGATTTGGGGACCTTTTTTCCATTCTCTCTGCTTGCTTTCTACCTTTCCTGAAGAGCAGACTTCTCCTGGAACATGTTCTTTCCACATGCACTTTGCTCCCACGGGTCCAAAACAACAGGACCAAGCAATCATGGACTGAAAACTTTGAAGCCAAAAACTAAAAATAAACCTTCCCTCTTTGTAAATTGGTTATCTCAAGTGTTTTGTCACAATGATGGAAATTGACTAATATAATTTAAAGCTTGGTCTTGATACTTCTTAGCATCCCTTTACTTTTCCTAATAATAGTTTAAATACTGTATTTCTGTGCAATCCTCCTCTTAAGACCACAGTCATGCAGGAAGAGCTTCTTTAGACTCCAGTTGTAGGAGTAAATCTGGGAGGACTAATACTGACTCTGTATATTTTGTCCTAGTGATTCAGTTCAAGAGACTAGGACCACAGACTAGACAAAGACACATGGTCTGTTTTGACAGTGAGATGCAAAACAAGTGATTGCTGGGAAATTGTAGTGATGCCTCGAAGCCTGGCTCCATTGACCCCTGTGCAAGAAGCCAGCCGGGGGATGGCACAGAGCCCAAGCAAGAGGAAAGAAGTGGGTTTAGAGGAGCTGCATCGCGCCATCTTCACAGCCACCCTACTGCTCCACCTCCATCATAGGGAGTGATGCATTTGCTTAACTATGGACGGAGATTGGCTTGGAGCTGATCTCAGGTGCAGCAGAGAGCTCTCTGACTATGGTGGTCACCATGGTCTCGTGACTCTGTCATCTATGATCTCAGCCTCTAGAGCCAGCCACTGGCTTTCCGGAGATGATGAGCTTTTGAAACCCCTGCAAACGCATGCATGTGCTCCCTACATCAGCCTCTGGCCCAGTAACCTCTTATTTTCTGCATGAAGTGAACTTGAGCGGTATGAGTCTCATGTGCCAACAGGAGCTCCCATACGACTTGATTTTCCTCCAGTGCCATAGCCCTGCTTGAATAATTTCAGCCCCTGAGATGGAAGAGCATCATTCTCACTCACTGCTCTGTCTTTGCACTCATGACTTCATCGTCTTAGGGTTCATTTGGTTCTCTTCTCAGCAACCAGCTACTTTGAACCTACGTTGTACCCAAATATGTACAATGCTCTGGCAAAGCTCCTTTCTCTCTGTCTTTCCTGGCACCCCCCTGCTGCAAAACCTGTCTGTTCCTCATTAAACCTCTTTTCTCCTTTGTTTCATGCCTCCCTGCTTCTTAACATTCATCACATCATTTTAGTAGGTTATTATAAGCAGTCTCTCCTTCGTTCTTCCCTTAAAGGCAAGGACCATTTCTTACTTATCTTCATATTCTCAAATCCCTAGCATCGAAGTTGGTACGTTGATTCCCTCACAGCATTAAGTCAATGAGCAGAAAGATGATTCAAATTGAGAAGCACAGTAAATATTGGTTAATTCTACAGGTGAGTTAGTGAGGTGACCATTGCCTGATGAAGCTCAGCACCTGAGACTAGAGCTCCAGGTAAGAGAGGTCACAGCAAGTGAGGGGTCCAGGATGGCTGGAGAGAGCAGATGGGGGGGCGCTGCCATCCCAGCTCACTGATCGTCACCAGCAGGTAAAGAGGCTCCTGTTGCCAGCACTTCCAATGATTGTGCAAGAGAAAAGAAAGAAAGAAAGAAGGAAAGAAAGAAAGAACAAAAAGAAAAGAGAGAAGAAACAAAGCAAGCCCGCTCTGCTGGCCAATGTGGTGGACATCACAGCTGTTGGCTAGATGTGCCCATTGCCTGATATCATTCTCTGATTTATTCCAACCTTATTTAGCAGTGAGAAAACCAAGACCAGGACCAAAACAAAGTTTCGCACAAGAGGTCCCCCAATTTAATGTCCGTGCCTTTCCTGTGCATTTTGTGACTCCCAGGCACCTCACCAAGTGCTCTTCGTGGTCTGTAATCTTCCCCTCCTCCATCTCAGGGCCTGCTGGCTGCACACAGAGCGTGCTCTTGTCCTTTGTCCATCAGAGGACCAGGTGCTCAGTGCTCCGTGAGTGGACATGGAAAGGGATATTAGACTCTTGGCATTAAAGCCACCTTCCACATGGGGATGTGGATTCGACCCTTGGGGCACTGAGGCTGAGCCCTCAGAAATTGGGGATGAGGAAGATCCTAAAACACAAGAAATTTGTAATTCACAATCTCTATCGCAAGTCCTACAGTTCAAGTAGAGGAATAATGTTTTGTGTTAGGCAAAGAGGAGAGGGTATCGGATATAGAAGAGGATGTTGTAGTAAGGATAAGTGAGGTTTTTGGCAGTGAGGTTGTTAATGCTGTCCTGGAGGGTTGGTGTGCCATCTCCCCAGGCCCTGGCTGTGCTAGCACAGTGCTCTGCTCTTTCACGTCTGTCTCCCTGCCCACCTCTGTACTCACGAGTGTTGCTGGAGGTCTCTTCTTCAGAGCTCAACTGAGGACTGGGGCACAGAGTCTCCAGATGCAGCCATGTCCTTCCAGTTGGTGTTCTAGAGTTGGAAAAACAAAAAAGAAATACAAGCTACAACAAAAACCAAAAAACCCTCTAAAACAGAAGTCAATAAAAAATACCACGGACAAAACAGATGTAGCTGGAGGTTCTGTGAGCTCGGAAGGCTCCTGTTTCTTTTCTGTAACTCAGGTGAATTCCACCTCCATACAAATCCCAGACAGTTGTAAAAAGAGATCGCTCTTCTGCACAAAGGCAGAGTCTTGAAATTGCATGAAAATTCTCCCTGTCTAGAGCTCTGAGGAAGCAGCTGTGGTTGCACATTTACCCAAACCTTTGAACTGTAGTGCTTGGTCCTTACCGAGCTTGTGAAGCTCATTGGTAATGAATGGCGTGATAACAGTACTATTATGTACCTGCTATGTTCCAGGCTCTTTATGCCATTATTTCCCTGGCTCCTAACAAGCTTTCAGCTCGGTTGTTCTTGTTTTCCATTTACATATGAAGTGAGAAGGACTCAGAGGCTGAGGGACTGAGTGTCACACAGCCAGAATGTGAAGTAACTGCAAATGAGTCAGGCCAGAAGTGACTTTGTAAAACAAGAGTTCTATGTTGACTGCACAGGAAGAGATAGCCAAGGACTCCAGGTCAGAATCCCAAGTTTGAGATGGCTCTGTCATTCACAGACAGCGAGGCTCTGATCATGACATTCGTTTCCTCTGATTCTAAACCAAAAATGGGGCTGATTGTAGCCTCTCTAGTCCCCATTTCACCTTGTTGTGGTGCTCAGTAAAATTATAGTGTCTACATCAGAATAACAGCATAAGTTATGAGTCCTTGAAATTAATTGGGGCATTGTGCTTGGTAGGAATACTGGGACCATTCTCAGCCATTTCCTCTCTGAAGGTGGTTTTTAATAGTTAAGAGCACAGCCTTCAGAATCAGATGTATCTATGTTCCAGTCCTGGCTCTGCCCATTTTTTATAAGCTATTGGAGACAAAATGAATGCTTTTCAAAGATGTTCAAATATGGGAGGGCACATGGTCTCTTAGCCACTTTCCACATCAGTGGACAAAATACCTTTATTTTGGCTCATGACTTTCAGAGGTTTCAGTTTGTAGATGGCTGGCTCCAATGCAGGAGAGGCACGGTGGAAGGGTTGGACCCAGGAAAGCTGCTTACATCATGGTGGTTAGAAGTGGAAAGAGAAGGGAGGAGCTGGGGAGAGAGATGAACCCTTCCAGGCCACGCCCCCGGGACTTTAACCAGATCCCAGCTCCTAACAGCAGGTCAGTGACGAAGGCACCTGTGGATGGGTCCACTGATGACCGCAGTGCCCGCAGGATCCAGTCGCTTTCCAAACACAGGAGGCTTTGGGGGGAAACCGTAACATGGTGAAAGGGAATTGAGGCAGCAGACAGAATTATTGTTGCTAATCAGCTGATGTTGAGATCATCCTGTATTATCTGGGCTTAAAAAAATCAACATCATAACAGCTAATAATAACAGTAATCATAACAGCTTCATAAGAGGAAGAAGGAGGGAGAAGAGCTGGAGAAGAGCCAGAGCCAGAAGGAGATGTGACCAAAACTAAGAGGTTGGAGTGTTAAACATGAGTCGAAGACTGAAGAAGGGAAGCTTGAGCCGGAGGAGAGTCTCTGATAGGTGGAAAAGGTGAGGAAACAGGTTTTCCCCCTACTTTTCTCCTAGATCCTCCAGAAACAAACTCCGTGAGTTTTAGCTCAGTGGGACCCATTCTGGACTTCTGATCTCTAGAACTGTAAGGAAATCTGTTCGAAGCCAGTAAGTTTGAGCCAATTCATTAGAGCAGTCGTACGAAACTTACACTGGCTGTATGACCTAGCACTGATCCCCATCCTCTCAGAACCTTATGTGTAGGGCAAAGTAAATGAAACTGAGTAGTAAAAACCAGCATTATTATTATGGTTAACACCACATTGTCAATGTGCCATAGTTTTAATGAGCCCAGGACTGTGCCTTTATCAGAACTGTGGTGAACCCACATGCTCGATTTTCCTGCTTACCTGGTGCTACCCTCCCTGAATAACTCTGGGCAGAGCAAACTGGCTGACTCACTCCGAGAAGAGCTGAACTCCTTCTGCACATTGCCAGGTTAACCGACCGAGGTTCCTGCCAGAAATATCTGTTGCCTAGTTAAGGGAGCGTTCCCTGCTTTGGGAGCCTAGGCAACTGCTTATGTGAAACTTTCTGGTTTCCTAGGATTGCAAATTAAATGTCAGGGAAGATAGAAATGCAGGAAAAGGCTTCCAAGAAGCAGTGCAATGAATTAGATCAGGAGAAAGGTCTCTGTTGGGCTGAGGAAGCCCTTTGAGAAGCCATGAATGGACAAGTCTCAGATGACGGCATTCACCCATCCATAGTTCCTCACAGATCACACTGAAATTGGCAGGTGTGCTGAATGGAAGCCCTACATCTCTTCTGCGTCAGGTCAACAGTCAGAAGAGGCCAGGTGTGTGTCACTGACAAGTTTGTCTCTTTGAGTTTGACTTCCTCATTTGTAATATGGCACAAATAGAGTAATAAAGACTGCTAATGGCGTTTAAATATGATAATGTTAACTCACAGTATCTCATTTAGACCTCACCAGATCATCACAGGCATTCTGATTTTACTGCTGAAAAACACTGGGGGATAGGGACATTGATTTCCAAAGACTCATCGAGTCAGTGGTGAAAACGTTTAACCAATGCATTCAATCTCCTCATTAAGATTTGACCCTAGCCTGGAGGACTCAATACTGTGAACTAAGGCATATATAACCCGCTTCGCTATGCAATTGTTAGGGTCAATTATGAAGACTGCAGAAAAGAAAACGACAGCACTCAATGGGTTCTGTAAGGTCTAGTTTTCCTCTTGTGCTTCTGGCCTGCCTGATTTCTGTAACAGCACCCCACCACTTCCTGTGTGTTCCCTGACCTTTCAAGGCTGTGAGAGCGACAGACCAGAGCATGGCACTCCTGAGTGAGCCCCAGCAGCTATCCCAGAGTGTCAACACGATGCCCATCCCTCACCCCTCTGCAACTCCCTGTCCACATTATATACATTTTATTCAAGCTCTGTCAGAACACTCACCGTTCCCTAATTGCTGTTCATCTAGACACAGTAGCGTATGTTTACCTGTGTACCCAGAATACTCTTACTCCTTTTAAATGCCAGGTGAATCCACACAGACCCTCAAAACTCAGTGCCTGGCCTAGTGCAACATTTTAAATGAACATTAGATGATGCCTTTTGTGAAATGAGTGGGCTGCAGTAACATCTTTGCCCCAAAGAAATAGTCCATCGTTTGGTAAATGCAGTTGGTTTTCTCATGTGCACAAATCCCTTGCTCCTTGCTTTATTTATTCGTGCAAGCCCCCCCTTGACCACTTCTTACCTCACCTGTATTCTTCTACTTGGTATGTAGCTAAGGTTCTCCTGACCCATGTTCAGCTTCCTTCCTGAATGCAGCATTTTTTCCTCTTATTATACAAAACCTCTCCTGGTCCCAGGGCCTCCTCTTACCAAGGCTGCAGGCTGAGACCTAACATTTTAGATCGTGGGGAATTTTCTTTTGAGAAGCCTTTCCGATCTCTTCAGAAAGAGATCTCTCTTACCTCCTAGGGAGTCTGTTAAATGCTTTATCATGGGCTCTTCTTATTGAGGTGATTATCGTATACCGACTTTATAATCCGATTAGACTGGCCTTCCAGAAGGCAGCAGTAATATTCTTCTAGTTATTTCTCTTTGGGCCTTGTCACTTAGTCTAGAGTAAACTATTTAAACTTCCCTTAACTTCTCTTTTCTGAACTAAAACAAACAAAACAACAAATATAATAATAATATTCTGCAGACTGATGAAGATTATAAAACATAGAAAAAGTGTCAGTACTACACATACATAGTAAGAACTAATATTTGATAGCCAATACTATTATCTTACTTTATGGAGACACTGAGTAATTTCCTTGAGAGTGGAGATGGAAGAATAAAAATGTCAGCCTTGGCTTTCTCCAACCTGTCCAGACACCACAACTGATTCAATATTAGCTGTAGCTTCAGCCCTAACTATCAGGCTGAAAAGTGCATGTTTGCGCAATGAATGTGTCTATTATTGTGTCAGTGGGTGGATCCTTGGAACCTATTAACCCACTGAATTTCAGCCTTCCTTGGCCCATCTTTGTCTGAAGTTTACCTTGTATTCTAGTTGGCTCTCTAGACCTTCTATCAACCCTGCCAAAGATCTTGCCCACACTCTAGTGAAATCTCATCTGAACTTTGCTAAATCTCTCCTCTGAAGGCAAGAGATGGTCTCTCCTAGGTCTTGGCTAAGTTCTGCCCAATTACTTAAGCTATGCCCAAGCAGAGCACAACTCAGCAGACTAGTTTGGTTCTGTAGCCCTGACTCTGTCCTCTGCACAACTATTGGTATTTCTGAAGTCCCAGAATTTCTTAACAACTCATGAATTCACTTGAGTTAGAAGAGGGGTGACTCATGTTTTTATCAGGGTAGAAAACTAATGACAAGGAGCTTGATTCTGATGTTCTGTTCCTTCTTTCCCAAGCCAATTTATGAATTTTGATGATGCATCTATTGGCAAAGGTTCTTCCTGCACTTTAATAAGCCCTATTGCTATGTGCTTAGAGGCTATCACTAGAGCTTACAAAAAAGGGCAGTTGTTTGATGAAGCTTCCCCAATTTCTTATTTCTTTTGAATGCCTGTTAAACATTGAGAGAAGAAAATGTGTTAGCTGAGAGACCTAGATGTTGATAAGCTATTAGCTTGAAAATAATCTGGGGCATCTACTCTTCATTAATCTACCTTGAATGTCCACCTGCTACCTCCAAGGTTGCTACTATTAAAGAAGATTTGTGACATAAATATTCCTATAAGGGCCTTCATAGAAAGGAAAGCAGTAAGGCTAAATTAAAGATGTGAGTGTCCATCCAGGCACACCTTTCCCTTTTCTTTCTAAAGACACTTCGACTACTGCAGAAGGATTTCATCTTTTGGCACACTTTCCACTCCATAGATGGCTTTTATCCAAGGTGCCAGTGGGGAACCAAATTTTGTCTGTGGTCATTGAAATCCTCCTTCACTGGAAAAATCAAGGGAATTTTTTGCTGTAAGCACTGAGTTCCCAAAGACCTCAATAAGTAGCACCTTCAAGTTTTTCCTTAGGAAATTAAATTGAGAACTGGACTATGTGATTTATCAT